GGAGGCTGGGTGCTCCCGGCACAGGTGCCGGGGCTCATAGCGGAGCTTCAGGCTCAAGTGCGGGGGGAAGACAGGTAGCTGAAGTCAGGGGAGATGGGAGCGAGCAGCAGGTCAAGAGCGCGCTGGGGGGGGACAGGTGCCCACTGGGCGACCCGCTGCAGCTGCTCTCTCTCCCCTCACAGGTGAGGGCCTTGGGGACTTCCCCAGGGTCACCCGGGGGCAGGTCCTATCATCAGGGCCCTGCCCCCTGAAAAGGCCATGGATTGGGAGGGGGAGTCGCACGCAGGAAGTGGGCTCCGGGAAGCTGGTGGGACCCGGGGGGGGGTGGGGGAGGCAGCCAGGCCAGTCAGCTGAAAACACCAGGCATAGAGCATTTATGTTACAAATGTGTCACCACTCAGTGTAGGTGACACCAGATTTGGACAGTCTGTGGGTGTTCGTGGAAGCAAATCATATCTACTCGTCACTGGGAAAGGTTGATTTGAAAATGATTCAAAATTATCCATGCTAAAAATGAACATTCTCAGGAACATTAAAACATTAAGGCAGTTATCACACAGATGCCTAATGTGTGGTGGTGGATTTAGTAGGAGCAGTGGGACTGGCTTCCTTCTGCTGTCCTGAGCACCTCCCAGGGTGGGTCTGGGCCAGGGTCTCTCCTGGGAGCTCACGGCTGCACCTCCCCTCCCCTCTGCACCTCTCCACCTCTCCCTGGCCGCTCCCCTGCCGTGGACCCCCCTCCACGTGTTGTCTGAGGCAGTGGGGCCAGGATCCCGAGGTATATTCCAGCCTCTCTCTGCTCCCTCTTCTCCATGGGGCACCCGCCGTTCGTCAGCAGGGCCCTGGAGTGGGAGCACCATAGACCCCCTCCCACCACGTGCTGATCATGCAGAGTCCACGTCCTGGAGACCCTGGCATGGTCCCCTGGTGGCTGGTTTGCAGGGGCCCCTTTGACCCAGAGCATCACTCACCCCGGCTGTGGCTGGCTGGCTTTGGTGGCTGTCATTCCATCCGACCTCACGTTCTTTTGTTTGGAACCATCTTAGTTAATGTGTAGCCGATACACGTGTGTGTCTTAAACAATCAGGTGGCAAAAAGGGAGGCAGCGTCACCCGCCATCTGTCCCCTGGTCCCCTGATGCCGCTCCTGCGAAGTCACATCTGTTCCAGTGTCCCCTTCCTCCTGGAATTGCTTCCCTACTCCACGCGCGTGTATGCCCCCCCCACCCCCCGTCACGGGCTCAGGGCCACCTCTCCTGGTGCAGTTCGTCCCCATGTGCGCCCACGCCTCCGCCTCATCCTT